TACATCCTAAACCCTACACCCGAAACATTAAACCACACACCCTAAAACATCCTAACCCTTTGCTACACCTCAACCCGCTCTAGACACCCTACGCCCCTGTACCAAGAACCCCTAAAATCCCAAAAGAGCACCGGGCCCCTAAACCCCAAACCCTGAACGCCCTAAGCCCCCATCTGGGCTCTGCTTAAGGGGATTTGATGTAAGTTACCATAATAATAGGGGGATCTTTTGTAACTAATATGGTGTCTGTATTATGGCAACTTAAATTCAATCCCCTAACAAGAACCCAGTATATAAAGCTACCCTAAACCCTATAAACCCTAAACCCTAGACCCTAAACGCCCTAAACCCTAAACCCTAAACGCCCTAAGCCCTAAACCCTAAACCCTAAACCCTAAACCCTAAACCCTAAACGCCCCAAACCCTAAACGCCCTAAACCCCTAAACCGTTGAGGGCCTTTGGGAGAGAATGGCGATGTACTCGGACAGGCCCTCGGATCGTTTCGGACTCGTCTCGGGTTAAGGGCTTTAAGGTGTAGGGTTTCAGGGTTTCAGGGGTTTAGGGGCTGTAGAGGGTTTAGGGCTTAGGGGTTTTGGGGTTTTGGGTTTGGGGGTTTTAGGGTTTAGGGGCTTTAAGGTGTAGGGTTTAGGGGTTTAGGGTTTGGGGGTTTAGGGGTTGAGGGTTCAGGGTCTTTTGGTTTAGGTTTTATGGCGGCATGAAGGTTTCGTTTTGTAACAGTTCCACAAGGGGCTCTATGCAGGGTTCGAGTAGAAAAAGCTGCTAATTTCAGGGTTCTACCCGGGTTCTAGCGGGTCCTCCTGGAAACGGGGAATATGGGTGGTAGTGTAACCAATGACGAGCTCCGGGTTCAAGGTTGAGGATTTACTTCGCTTAACGAACCCGCTGGAACCTTAAGACCCTGAAGTCCTATCGACTCCTTACAGAACATTTCGTGCACCCCTATAGCATGCTTGTAGAACCCTTATCGAACCATTATGGCACCTTTGCAGCCCTCTCGTAGTCGTAGAACCCGTACAGAACCGAAAGAGAACCTGTAGACCCCGTCTAGAGTCCCTACAGCACCCTAAAATTGGACCCTAAAAGAATTCCTATCATGGAATCCCTACAGCACCTTTATGGGGGCTTGTGTGGAACCTAAACCCTCAGACCGGAAACCCCAAGAAAGAATGGTCTAACGCAGAAGCCAGAAAGTGTGGCTTATTGTGTGACCATTTCGTGACGATGTCGATATGGGAAAGCCGCGCGCACGTCCATTCTCCCTGTGGGACAGCTGTAGGGAAGGATTTGATTTCCAGTCGAAGCTGGGCTGGAGGCTGAGTAGGCTAACAAGCCGGCGCTGTGGTGGCCATGCGCTGAAACTTGCAGCTTGGGGGTTTCTTGGGCCCATGTACAAGCGTGATGCATTCTTGATCAAAGGCCGGCGTGCTCCTGCACAGTCGAAGCCATCTGTGGCTACGACTCTGGCGAATCCTTGGCGCCAAACCAGTGCGTGGTCACGAGCGGCCTAGATTTTATCAAGTGCGACGTGGCCGTGCCTCGGCTAGTTCTTTTTGTGTTATGCTGTCGTGTGGTGTTTTTTCCTCTGGTATTTTTTTCGTTGAGGTTTGGTGGTATCCCTGTCACAGCCCGCACGATGTTTGCATCTTGGAGGCTGGTCCCGCACAAGGATTGGAAACTGTCATGACTGCAGGAACTACTGTGCGTGCGAACATAACCAGCATCATGCAAATCATGTCTGCTTTCGCTTTCGGGAAAGAGGACCGTCGTGCTGAGCTCGAGTCTCTGGACGATAATGAAACCGCGAACGCACGTATTCGTGCTTGTAGGAACATGTATAAACTTCTGTGGCAAGGACATGGGACCCCTTGGAGGAGAACTGCGTGATTTTTTCTCCGGAGGGACCTATGAGCACGCTCCTGGCTGACGGTGACTTGGCAGGGCCTGGTAACAGGGTGCGGGCTTTTGGTTGTGAGTTAGTGGCATGTTGCAAGGCATTGCAAGTGGGGAGTGTCAGGCGATATGGATGGCGACGACAATTGCATCACCACGCAACTGGAGTTGGTTGAGTTCTTGCGCTTCACGAAACCTTGGGAGGACAAGCCGAACTGGGAGGAAATGTGGTTGCAGCCGTTTCGTGATGTGGTTGATCTAGCTTCGTGACATACGTCCGTGGGAAGCACGGGCATGAAGCTTTTGTGGCGGCAGGACATTGGACGCCAGGCTCTTCATGGCCGGGAGGGCGTTAAGACCGTGTGGCCTTCAGGCGTCGACCGCAGTGTCTTGGCTGCAACCTTTTCATGGTCAAGCCTTTGTCTCATAGCAGTCTGGCCATAACCCGGCTTGCTGATCTGATCGTCGAGGCCTGGCTTTTGCGCGGTTCCCGTTGGCCCGGGACACGCCACCGCACGACCACGACATTGTCTCGAGTGTGAGCTGCCGGGCCACCGCCTATGGGCTGCAGCAGCCGCAGGACGCGCAGCAGAAACTGTTGGTGAAGTGGTGGGGTGTGGCCGTTCAACACTTACTTTGCTGTGGGATGTGGCAAAGGTTGGGTTGATGTCACGAGGACGAAGCGGCTGTGACGGCCAGTCAGACGGCCCTTTTGATGCAAGTCTTGGCCCACAAAGCAGCTGGGCATGCAAGCTTTGTTTTTCGGTAGCGCGGTGAGGCTAAGCAGGTAGAGAAGTGATTGTTGTGGCTATGGCTACAGTACTCCAGCTAATGAAGCAAACGAGGTCACAGATTGCCCGAAGCGTGGACTACTTGGCTCACGGCAAGGACATGCGCAAGGAGCTCGGGGTGCCTGAGAAGATTGACGTGTCAGGGCTGTACTTCAGGGGCTTCAGTGCTGCATGGCGCTGTCTACCTCTGGCGGTGTGGCTTCAAGGGCAAGGCTGAAGAGTCGATGAACAGCGCCTTCGACGTCAGCGCGCTGTGCGCCACGAGCACGAAAGCCAGAGAGAGGTGTGTTGCTGGGCACGCATGCAGTGCTTGACTGGAGGGGCTGGGCAGGTTGAAGTATGCAAACGCATGGGGCTGCCCTCGAGTTCTTTCGGGAAGGTTTCCCGCAGGACAAGCATGTTCTCGTGGCGGGAAGTGCATGTGACATGGGGCCCCCGGGTGTGTTCGGGAAGGCTTGGTTCCCACAGGACAAGATTGCTCTGGGGGCCGAGTGCATTCTGCGCCACAAGAGGCGTGGCGTGTGCGTGAACATACCAAGAACACTCTTTTCTGTCTTGAACTAGCTGTTTCCTTCAGGAGGGTGGATCACTGCGTGCTGACGGAACTCTCCCATGTCTTGGTGCACAAGTCCGGCATGAGCTCCGAGGACTGGTCCCAGAGGCAGCTTTCATATCGGGAACGAAACAAAATTTCGTTGAGTCCAACTCCAAGCGGGACATTGTGGAATTCTACTTGTCTAACAAAAAGTTCATGCAGTGAAAAAGAGCTTTCAACCACAAAGTCGAGGGCGGGCCCTTATTGCTACTGGGAGTGGAAGAAGTACCTGTGGATCAGACAGTCGTGGGTTTTGCAATCGTGATCAGGAAGCTTCTCACCGTGAGACGCAAAGTCAACGAAGTGCCGTACTTCGTGATCCGTTGTCTCGCCCGTTAAAAGGACCTCATCACTCTGCTGCGCCACATCATCCTTATGCCCGTCAAGCAAAGTATGGGCAATCCCAGCACCAATGTGGGGTGCACTCCCTAAAAAATGCTAAAGCCTAAATCCTAAACCCTAAAACAAAAACCATACAATAGAGCCTACACCCTAAACCCTAAAACCCTAAAGCCCCAAGCCCAAGCCCCTAAACCTTAAACCGAAGAAAGCCGTGAAGCCGTAAGAGCACTCGGGACCAGGCCTCCGATGCCCGGACAAAGCGTTCCGCGCAACGAGGCCCAGGAAGTCAGGGACGCACTGGGCGTGCGGTTCTTTTATAGGGTTTAGGGTTCAGGGTTTAGGGTGTAGGGTTTAGGGTGTAGGGTTTAGGGTTTAGGGTTTAGGGTTTAGGGCTTATGAGGACTTCTTAGGGCTTAGGGTTTAGGGTTTATGGTTCAGCTGCTCCGGATCAGTCGAGCTGGCTAGTTCGATCCGAGAAAAATACCCACCCACCCAGGAAC